GAATGAAATACAAAGCACATAACTAGGATTTGACAGAAGAGGTCATCAAACTATGGCTCATCGGCCACATCGAGGCTGCTGCTTGATTTGGTGAATAAAATATGACTGGTTCACAGGCATACTCGTTGGTTGATATGCTGTCCATGGCTGATCATGTTATAATGGCAATGATTGAGTTGAGAGACTATGACAGAGAAGTGGCCTTCAAAGATTAAAACCTTTACTATCGGGCCCTTATCATAGGAGGTGTCAGCTTATGCATGTTTTATAAAAAAAAAAAAAGACTCATTCGGTGGAAGTCTACGTGAAGTGAGGGCTAAGAAAACTTTAGTCATCTGTTAAAATTAAGGTGCAGGTGACTTATCAACCATCCAGGAAGAGTAATACTTTTTCATGAAAAAGAATTGCTTATTTTATGGAAGTGATGAGTAATTTTCTTGAAAAATGAGCAAACACACAGATGTAGGTAGAATTGAAATGTGAGATGAAAGGCCATTTCTCTGTTTAGCATCATCATAAAATAAGATTCCGTCCACGAAATGAAGTAACACTTGCACTCAGATTCTCTCTTTATATTTAAAAAATACTTCTGGAAGGGTGCCATAGCTGGACGAATGGGATCCAAGTTGATCACACACATGACGTACATAAATGGAGGGACAGAGACAGTTTCTGAGGAGTGTTACGGTCGCCATCTTCAAAAAGCCAGGGCCAAACTGCAACCATAACAAGCTGTCGTCACAAAGGCAAAAATTGTAGCTGCCACGTTTATGTTGTACTTGTTATCATCCAGAAGTGGCTGTATGGCGGTAGTTGTATTACAATGCAGATCGTGCAGAGATGTGGCTGTTGCTTCCAGTAAAAAGGCTCCAAAGTAGAAGACAGACACAATAAAGTGGTAAGCAAAATCCAGGAAGTTCCAATTGGCATCAATCTGAGTCACCATGCCAGTCAGGAACAGGCCCAGGAAGAGGAGGGAAAAGAAAAACGCTGTCACGGATACAAACATGACCCATCCTTGTAGCAGTGGTAGAGGAACATTGGACGAGGCGACCAGAATCCAGACAAGTCCCCCAAACACGATCTCCAGGCAAACGAAGGCGCCTGAGTAGGTCCACAGGATGCCGGGGCCGGCGGGCAGGGTGACCCAGGGCGCAGGGAAGGCCACGGTGGGGTTCGGGGGCGGCGGGACTGGAGCTCCGCTTCCACCGCTGCGTCTCCGCGCGCCGCCGCCTCCTCCTGCCGCCTAGGCTCCAGTGGCTGCCGGCTCCGCGGTCCGCGCGTGGGGAGGGGCGTGGCCGCGAGGCTTGGAGAAGAGTTTTGACTATACCATGGACTGCTAAGAGAATGTACAGGTTCGTCATGGAGAGGGTGAAACCAGGCTGCTTCTTGGAGGCAAGGATTCTGAAGCCTCATCTGACATATTTTGGACATGTTGCAAGGAGGGACCAGTCCATGGAGAGGAATGTCATGCTTGGGAGGGTGGGGAGACAGCATAGGAAAGGAAGACCCTCGATTTGATTGATTCAGTGATGTGGTAATGGGGGTAGGTGTGTTGGAGACAGTGAGATTGACGCAGGATAGAACAGGGGTTAGGGCTGTTGTATATAGGGTTGCTATGAGTCTTGGGCAACTTGACGGCACATCACAACAACAACAGACAACAACAACAGCATAAGTGAAACCATGCTACATCCTGTGCCTTTCTCACTATCTCTGTTATTGCAGCACAGAAGCCAAGGAAGCTTCAGATATAAGCTGTCAGATCAAGAGCTGCACAATGGGAGATGGATGTTGAAGGGAGTGGGTAGAAGTGGATGGGTATCCTGGCAGCTGGTGGAGCAGGGAAATAAGTGGGTAAAGACATGTGTACCAAGGGCCGGGACAACACTGATATTAATGGTTAACTCCACAATAAGCGATATATCTTTCACTTTTCTGTCAAATGCTGGTGTGTCTGATACTTTAAATCTGAACATTTAGATTAAGACAGACTAGGAAGAAGGATTGGCCATCCACTTCTGAAAAAATAGGCTTCCGAAAACCCTATGTACAAGAGAACATGTGTAGAATAACAGAAAGGGCAACTGAGGTAGAGCTTTCAGGTATGGAAATACAAAGGAAGAGGAACACTTGTAAGTAGACACTAGTGATTGGAACATGGAATGTGAGAACCATGAATGTAGGAAAATTAGATATTGTTAAGGAAGAAATGGAACACATAAATATTGACATAGTAGGCATTGGAGAGATGAGATGGACTGACATGGGCGTTTTGAGTCAGGTGATCATATGATATATTACTCTGGAGATGAAAAGGTGAGGAAAAATGGAGTTGCTTTCATAGTTAAGAAAGTCATTTCTAGATCCATATTAAAAGTACAATATTGTGAGTGACAGGATGATATCCAAACACATACAAGGAAGGCCAGTGAATACCACTATCATTCAGATAGATGCACCAATAACCAGAGCCAAGGAAGAGGAAATAGAAGATTTTTACCAACTTTTAGAGTCGGAGATCGATTGAACATGCAATCAAGATGCATTGATAATGGGTGACTGGAATGCAAAAGTTGGGAACAGAGAAGAAGATTCAGTAGTTGGAAAACGTGGACTCGGTGACAGAAATGGAGCTGGAGAGAGAATGATTGAATTTTGCACAATGACTTATTCATTGCAAATATGTTTTTTAAGAGACATAAATGAGGTTATATCCATGGATTTCACCTGATGATATTCATAGGAATCAGATCGATTACATCTGTGGAAAGAACCGCTGGAGAAGCTCAATATCAGCTGTGAAAAGTAGGCAAGGAGTTGATTGTGGTATAGACCACCAACTAGTCATATGCAAGTTCAAGTTGAAGCTGAGGAAAATTAAACCAAATCCACGGGAACCAAAATATGACCTTGAGTCTATCCTACCTAAATTTCAGAACCATCTCAGGAACAGATTTGAGGCCTTGAAAACTAATGAGCGAAGACCAGATGAGTTGTGGGTGGATATCAAGGGTATCATCCAGGAAGAGTGCACACGGTCATTGCAAAGACAGAAGAGGAAGAGAAGACCAAAATGGGTGTCAGAAGAAACTCTGAAAATTGACTGGAGCACAGAGAAGCCAAAGCAGAAGTAAGACTTCAAGATATTGAAGAGTTGAATAGAAGCTTTCAAAAGACAGCATGGTATGACAAAGTAAAATATTACAATGACATGTGCAAGGAGTTGGAGTCAGAAAATCAAAAGGGCTGAACTCGCTCAGCATTTCTTAAGCCTAAGGAACTGAAGAACAAATTCAAACCTCGAGTTGCTATAATCAAAGGATGCTTTAGTCAGAATATTAAATGATCCAGGAAGTAGTAAAAGAAGATGGAAAGAATATACTGAGTCACTGTATTGAAAGGAATTGGCAGACACGGAAGAATTTCATGAAACAACATATGAGCAAGAGCCTATGGTGATGAAGGAAGAAGTTCAAGCTGCTTTGAAGGAAATAGCAAAAAATAAGGCCCCAGGAATAGGAATAGATGGTATACCAATTGACATATTTCAGCTAACAGATGCTGCCCTGGATGTGCTCACCAAGTTGTGCCAAGAAATCTGGAGAACAACCACTTGGCCAACTGACTGGAAGAGATCTGTATTTGTTCCCATCCCAAAGAAGGGTGACCCAACAGAGTGTGGAAACTGTATAACAATATCATTAATTTCACATGCAAGCAAGATTTTACTGAAGATTATCCAAAAACGACTGGAACAGCACATCAGCAGAGAACTGCCGGAAGTCCAGGCTGGGTTTAGAAGGGGTCGTGGTAGTAGGGATATTGTAGCTAATGTTAGATGGATCTTAGCTGAAAGCAGGGAATACCAGAGGAATGTATATCTGTTTTTCATTTACTGTGCAAAGGCGTTTGACTATGTGGATCATAACAAACTGTGGCTGACTCTGAGAAAAATGGGAATCCCAGAACATTTAATCGTGCTAATGCGAAATCTATACTTGGACCAGGAGGCAGTCATCAGAACAGAGCAAAGGAACACTGCATGGTTCAAAATTGGGAAGGGTGTACGCCAGGGATGCGTCCTATCTCCATACCTTTTCAACCTGTATGCAGAAGAGATTATCTGGGAGGCTGGGCTCTATGAGGAGAAATGTGGGGTCAGGATTGGTGGAATATCTATCAACAGTCTGCGTTATGCAGATGACACAACCCTGTTTGCTGAAACTGAGCAAGGACTGAAAACATTTGCTGCAGAGGGTCAAGGACTGCAGCCTCTAATATGGGTTGAGGCTCAATGTCAATAAGACGAAGATTCTCACCACTGGGCCGATTGGCAGCATCAGGATGGATGGTGAAGAGATTGAGATTGTTCACAGCGTTAGTTTGCTTGGCTCCACAGCCAACACTCTTGGCACCAGTATCCAGGAAATGGAAAGACGTATTGCGATGGGAAAGTCTGCTGTTAGGGACCTCTCCAAAGTACTGAAGAGCAATGGTGTCTCTTTGGAGACTAAGGTGCATCTGCTACAGGCCATGATCTTTGCTATCACTTGTTAATGCATCAGAGAGTTGGACAATGACCAAGGAGGATAGAAGGAGAATTGATTCCTTTGAGCTGTGGTGCTGGAGAAGAGTATTGATAGTACCATGGACTGCTAGGAAAACAAACAGATTCATCCCGGAAAGGGTCAAACCAGGCGCCTCCTTGGAGGCAAGGATTTTGAGACTCTGTCTAACATAGTTTTTACATGTTGTAAGGAGGGACCATATACTGCTCACCCCGAAAGGCTTCTTGAGGTCTGTATTGTTTTTTGTATCTGTCAGAGAAACAGGTTAATTGTAAACAAGTCAATAAGTTAGTTTAATCTAATACAGTGTATACCTTTCTTTTAAATTGGATTGTGATCAAGTTGTAATCAATTACTGAGAAACTGGTAATTTTTATATATTTTACAGTGTTTGCAACGATACTTTTTTTTCTTTTTTAATATCCGCAGGGCAAACTCAGAAAATGAACCTTTTCCAATCAATAACAAGTGCCTTGGATAATTCGTTGGCGAAAGATCCTACTGCAGGTAAGTGTCATTTGTGTTTCACCATAGGTGGCACTGGAAGGACTAGTGGGCTAGTGAGTAAGGAGTTGTGCTGCTAATCCAAAAGCAGACAGTTTGAGTCCACCAGCTGCTCTGAGGGAGAAAGATGCCTGTCTACTCTCATATAATTTACAGCCTCTGAAAACCCACTGGAGGGTCAGCTGTGAGTTGGTTCTGACTTGACAGCACATAACAAGAACATGGGTAATACAAATTATTAATAAACCTGTCTTCTAGTAGAAAGGTTGTAGGTTCTAGTTCACTCAGTCATGTCTCAGAGGAAAGGCTTGCTGACCTACTAACCTAACACTTGCTGTAGAAGCCCTGAAGAATACTAATACAGCATTTTTGTGGATTGGAATTCACTGACTAGCATCAGATTTATGGTAATGTGTTCAAATGCAGTGAAGGTTTTTTTGCAATAATGTTTCAAGCTCAATGTTTAGCGTTGTATCTACCTGAAATTTTAAAAGGTTAAGGGATTGATATCAGGGTTGTGGTAAGACTGAGAAAAACTGGATAAATTGTGTGTACTGCACTGAAAGAGATGAGGGAGTGAATAATTTAAAAGCGATGTATGATAGGGTATTATGGTTATCACAAGTGTCCACAATTAAGGCTGAATAGTGGAATGTACTTGGGTCGGTGGGAGGGGTCTGGGGGGATTGTGTACCAGGGAAGGAGTGTTTCTTTTGAAAGAGAGAAGCGAACTGGGGGTGTGGGGGGGTGTGTGGGCGGCGTAGCAAGGAATGAATGGAAATCCAAAATCTCTGTAAATGCTCATTAAAATTATTTAGAGGAAAAAAGGTTCCTCTCATTACTAACCAGTTCTTACAGGAGATCGGTGAGTTAGAAACCTCTGACTTATGTATAAACCTATAGTTATGACAAAACTCTTGTAAAGTCTATGATACTAAAAACTTGAGGTATGTATAATGTTTGCTCATGAAAAATGAGAACTTCTTTGTGATACTTATCAAAATAATGCTGAAAAAATTATAGTACAAGTAGTAAGCAAAATAATTTCTTAATAAACTAATTCAAATTTTTTGAGTAAAAAAATAATATTTTACTAACACTAAAGATGTTTTGTTAGAGTACATGGAAGTATTTAACTTTTTTTATGCAGAGAAAGGTACTCTGTATGGTATATATTAAGAAAAAAAATTGACTGATAGTATGTATAAACCATATCAAAATCTTCTGACTTCTCTACAAATTCAGCTTAAAGTTAGATTTAGGATGGACCCTCATCTGGGAACTGCCTGCATGTATATATGTAATTACCAAGTTTATTTTTTCATGTAATATATGTGGCTCTGTTAGAGTATTGATAGCTTCTGGAATAGTATCTATAGAAACACTGAATATACTACCTTGTTCCAATATCATAAAATTAAAATTTTCATTTTTACATTGGGAGATGTTTCCATTCAGCTTGAGTTTCTTTCTTTTTTTTTCTTCAATACTTTTAAGAATAAAGTACTTTAATCTTCATATTATTAAATGATTGGTAGAAAAATAGTTGTCTTTCCAATGTATGTTTAAAAATTTGATTAAAATAAAAAGAAAATCAACCCTCAAACTCATTGGCTTTGAATTGAAACTGACTGAAAGCTGATCAAGCCTCCCTCAGGTTTTTGAAGCCTGAAGAATCTCGTGGGAACTGATTATTCATTTTGCTACAGAGCTGTTGACAGATTCAAGCTGATGGTTTATTTGAACTGCCCGTGAGGTGTCACTTTTGAATTAGCAGCAAAACTCCCTGCAGATCAGCTTTCTTTTTTCAATGAACTTTATTACCTTAAAATTACACTTGAGAATCTATAGTTTGTTTTTTAATTACATTTTATTAATTTTAATGAACATTTACAGAGATTTTGGGTTTCCATTCATTAATTGTTGCGAGAATCTATAGTTTTATAGTCAACTGGAAAACAGGTTATATTTTAACTGAAGTGAGATTTACACTTGAGTATGAATGATTCCTTATTCTGATAATTCGCACTGCTAAAATAGAAAAAAAACATATCCACAGCCATTGAGTTGATTTCATCTCATGTGACCCTCCATTGGATTTCTCAAGAAGTATAATTTTTTTTTTTATTTTAATGAAAGTTTACAGAGACTTTGGATTTCAATTTATTCATTCATTCATTGTTGCACACTTTTCACCCTGCCCACCCCTCCCCCCCAGTTTGCTTTTCTCTTTGAAAAGTAAAAAAAAAAAACCAAACCAACACAAACCAATGACAAACCTTTCATTGTTGTACATTAACTCCTACACCCCAGACCACTGACCACTCCACTATGTAGCTTTCATTCTGGACTCTTGTCATGACAATAATAACATATATTCCTCCTAAACAGTTCTCTTCTTCATCTGTTTCAATGCAGTATACATTATTTATCCTCTCTTACCTTCCACCCAACCCTGATATCACTCTTGCTTCACAACAGTGGTACTATGCTGTATTTGTCCTTTTGTGACTGAGATATTTCACTCAGTATAATGTGCTCCAGGGTCACCCATTTTGTATAATATTTCACAAGTTTTTTTCTTTTTCAATGCAGCATAGTATTCCATTGTGTAAATACACCAGAGCTTCCCTATCCATTCATTTGTTGATGGGCACTTGGGTTGTTTCCTACTCTTTGCTATTGTGAACATAACCACAGTAAACATGGGTGTGCATATACCTGCCTGGGTGGCTGTTATGGTCTCTTTGGGGTATATTCCCAGTAGTGGAATTGCTGGGTCAAATGGTACCTCTATTTGCAACTTTTGAGAAAGCGCCACACCTCCTTCCACAGGTGTTGCACCATTTTACGCTTCCACCAAAGACAAAGATTCTCACCACTGGACCAATTGGCAGCATCAGGATGGATGGTGAAGAGATTGAGATTGTACACAGCTTTAGTTTGCTTGGCTCCATAGTCAACAGTCTTGGCACCAGCAGCCAGGAGATTTAAAGGTGCATTGCAATGGGAAAGTGTGCTGTTAGGGACCTCTCCAAAGTGCTGAAGAGCAATGGTGTCTCTTTGGAGACTAAGGTGCGTCTGATACAGGCCATGGTCTTCGCAATCACCTGTTATGGCATCAGAGAGTTGGACAATGAGCAAGGAGGATAGAAGGAGAATTGATGCCTTTGAGCTGTGGTGCTGGAGAAGAGTATTGAGAATACCATGGACTGCTAGGAAAACAAACAGATTTGTCCTGGAAAGGGTTAAACTGGGTGGCTCCTTGGAGGCAAGGATTCTGAGGCTCCGTCTAACATACTTTGGACATGTTGTGAGGAGAGACCGGTCCTTGGAGAGGGACATCATGCTTGGGAGGGTGGAGGGACAGTGCAGAAGAGGAAGGCCCTCTATGATGTGGATTGATTCAGTGATTGGGATAATTGGGATGGGAGTGTCGGAGACAGTGCAATTGGCACAGGAGAGAGCGAAGTTTAGGGCTGTTGTACATAGGGTCGCTATGAGTCGCAGGCGACTTGACAGCACATAACAACAACCAACAGTGAATAAGGGTTCCAGTTTCACCACAACCTTACCAGTATTTGTTACCTGCTGTTCCCTTAAATTTTGCTATTCTTACTGGGGTGGGATGATAGCTCATAGTTGTTTTGATTTGCATCTCCTTTAGAGCTAGGGATTCTGAGCATTTTTTCATGTGTTCGTCATCTGAAGGTTTTCTTTGGTCAAGTGTCTGTTCATATACTGTGCTCATTTTTCAATTGGGTTACCTTTATCTAGTTGTGATACTTGACTATTTTATAAATTCTAGATATAAGTCCCTTATTAGACATGTCATTACCAAATATTTTTTCCTTGTCTGTGTCTTCCCTTTTCACCCTGTTGGAAAACTTTTTAGATGAGCATAGGGATTTTAATCTTAGAAGGTCCCACTCATCTATATTATCCTCTCTTAGTTGTAGGTTTTTCAGGATGCTTGGAAGACTGTTTATGTTGTGGATTTGGGTTTCTAGATTTCTTCCAACCTTTTCTCTAATGAAATTTATAGTCCTTGGTTTTAGTTCTATGTCCTTGATCCACTTTGAGTTGGTTTTTGTGTATGTAGTGAGGTGTGGATCTTGCTTGAGTTTTCTATACATAGTTTCCCAATTTTGCCAGTTTTAACCATTTGTTAAAAAGGCTGTCATTTTTCCACTTACCTGATTTCATCTCCTTGTCAAAAAATCAGTTGACCATAGGTAGATGGGCTGATTTCCAGGTGGTACTGGTACAGGGACAAACACTTAGATATACGTTTTTAAGGAAGAAACTGCCCATCTTTCTCTTTGAAGTGGCTGGTAGATTTCAGCTGTCAATCTGTTTTGATTAGCAGTCTAACATATGACCAGCTCTGCTACCAGAGCTTGGATTATGGTTTTCTTTAATAACATTATGAATTGAAAAGGTTTCTGTCATTAATTTCCCTCTTCCTTCTTTCTTTTTTGGTTGTTACATCTGATAGTACTTACTTATTTAATATTTACAGAGTCTGATTAACATAAGTTTTCTTATTTCGGCTACATGAGAAAAATTTAATTCATACCCAACTGTTTTCATTTTGGTAATATATTAATAGTAATTTCTTAAATAGTTATGTTATAAATCTTTGAAAGGTGATACTTATTAACATATATCATCTTAAGTTTAATTTCAAACAGGAAAAAGAAGACTTTCATATTTTTAATTTACTTTCCAGTATAAATTGTGGCTAAAGTAAATATATTGTTGATTGCTGTCAAGTTGTGCACGACTTATAGCGACCCTGTGAACAATTGGCCTTTCTATAACTATCGTCATTTATCAAAGTTCATACGGTTTCCAGAACATAGTGTGCTCATTAATTAACTAATGCTTGGTATCTACAATTCTTTACTTCATCCATAGCTACTGACTCTAAATTTGTTGCATATTGCCTCCTAATTAGTTGCTCAAATTTTATCTGATTTGTTTAGAATGTTTTCCAAGAGTGATCATTCTCGTTTAGATGTCTCATTAGTAAAATTAAGTAAGTTTAAGCATAGAGAGGTTGAATTATTTTATCAAAGTTAACAAAGATATTTAGTTTACAGTTTTGGAATTATTTAGATCTCTTGATATCTACTATTTCATTTTCAACTTATTATAAAGCTTCTTTCAATTTTCTGATAATATTCTTTGTCTTGCTTACTATATTGTAACCATTCTGTAATTGTTTCTTTTTTGTTTCACACAATCTTTTTTTTGGGGGGGGGACACAATTCTTTTTTAAAAAAATTTTTATTTTAATAATTTTAATGAACATTTGCAGAGATTTTGAATTTCCATTCATTCTTTGCTGCACTTCTCTCCCTGCCCAG